GGGAGAGTTTCCGTTATGAAAGGATTTCCTCCTTCCATCCTGCAGCTACCATAGCTTCTACACAATGAAAAAGATTGTTCACAGGACAGAAAAATGTGTGGCACCTGTGGTGCTGGTCCAAGGAACCAGCATGAACCTCCAAACTGAGGTTCGGGCCCATCGCTATGAATGGGATTTGGAACCAAATATATTTGGAAGACAACCTTGCTCATATTGCTATGAGATAGGATACCAGTTTTTTTTTCATGAAGTATATGTAGTGAGAGCATAATTAGCACCATGCCCTAAAACGTAATACATCTCCCACTTTTGAAGATTATCACTGTCTAGTTGAAAGGCCACTTAACTACTGTTAATATCAGATAGTCTGAAAACAGAAACATGGGAAACAGATTATGTCCTGAGGATATGAGACAACCGCTGTCCAACATACTTGACATTAACAGCTATGTACAAAAAACAGCAAGAGTCAGGAAATTAAAAATTAAGAAAGGTGCTGTCAGGGCTTCAGGGCATATTCCTCTGTTTTGCTCTTTGAAAAGAACTGTGAGAACGGCTGTTGCCAGTAAAGAAAATTGTATATTGAAATGAAGCTGCCTGCTGATCAACAAGCATACATCTCATGTTGGATGGCAGAGGCCTGTAGGAGAAAGAGGGAGAGAAAAAGAGCAAGAGAGAGTAGCCAGGGTTTAGGAGGTAATATCGAGACTTAAAGTCTGAGACTGGAGCCAATTAAAATAGAAATAATTGTGGCAAGATGTGCAGTAAAAATATGCATGGCTGTGACATGTGTTTGTGATCCAAAGCCTTGCCATTGTTTTTTATTAAACAGCAGGTCATGAACATATTGGGATGTGTCTGCCTTCCAGTACCAACCAGGGCTAAAAGGCCACGTAGACTGTAGATTTATGGAGTGTTACAAGTGTAGGAGCCTTGAGAGGGTGTAAGTGTCAGCCTTGTGACTGAAAAAAAACCCAAGACAGCCAAGGGATCAGACGTAAGCTACTAATGTAATCCTTCCTTGAGCTGGTAGTATGGCCATCTCCCCACAAACACTGGCTGACAGTATTTGCCATCAGAATAACAGAGTCTATAACATAACTATTATTTAATAGTTTGAAAGACTTTTTCTTTTCTTGCAATGCTATAAACACGAGAACTTGTATTTCTGTTCTCATAGCTAAAGCCAGAGTATTGCATGCCATCAGTCTTCAGAACCGTGAAGCACTCTCATAAGTTCATCTAAGCCATTATTCCACACTATCCATTGTTTTCATTATTTCATCCAGCAGTGGTTTGTCTGTGCGCTGATGAAGAGAACAGAATGCTGTGCCCTGCCATTTCATGGATGATTGGCAATGGAACGTACTGTATAACTTTTTTCAAGAACTGTAATAGGATGGTGTTCTGCCTCACCTCTGAAATCAGAAGGCTAGCTTAGGTGGTGACTCAACACATACCACTAGGGTGGCCATATATCCTCCATTAGGAAGGATGGCCCTCCATTCCCAGAACTATACTTCTTTTTGGTGGAGAACATTTGAATGGCCCCACTCCATCCCATGAATTGCCTTGGCTGAGCAGGGAAAGTAGGAGCTTTCAATGGTAAATGTATCTAACTAGCCCTCTCTCATTGTTTAAGTAAAATGGTGTCTCTCTCTGTGTGTGGGGGTCATTTTGTAAAAAAAGAAACAAATCATACATAGAGATACAACAGCTTATATATGGCAGGAACAAAATGGCATGGCATGTCCGTTCGATATGTACTTCATATGTGAGATTAATCCTCAGCAGAGGACAGTCTGAAAGTACTGTTCAAATCATTCCTCAGAAATAACTGATTGTAGACTAGTTAGATATTTCAACACTACAGTGATCTCTGTTTAATTTCTTTCTTTATATATTCATTTTCAGTAAGCTGCAGAAAATACAAGGCAGAGGGCATTTCAGAGATGTCTCAAACACTATGTCTTTTTTATTTATTTGATTTATAACCCATTTCCCCCTCAATGGTATATCCCAAGGTGTTTACAGTTCTGCAATATGGTGCACAGTAGTGTATTTCCACTTATATTTTAGTAATGATATATAACTGTGGTATATTTGCATACATTAGTTTAAATCAGCATATAGAAATTTAATGCACAATTGTCCTCCTTTCTTGCTATGGAGCATTAGCCACCCTACATACCACATATGATAGGGCTTTCTCAGTGGTGGCATGCCAGTTATGGCACTTTCTTCCATTGGACGATTCCTACACCATAGTCTTTCATGCACCAGTTAAAAGCACATCTATTTATACAAACTTTGTGGAATCAGCAAGTACTTGCTAAGTCGTTGCTGCTTTTTTATACTACTACAATTATTGGTATCAATAAGCAGATATTTATGGTCAGTGTTATAAATATTTGTAATTTTAGATGTGTGCAGATTTAGACGGGGAAGTAGTTTGTGATTTTAGACATTGCAATTTGATTAATTTAGATATGTGTCATTTTTTTAAACTATGTTTTTAATGTGTTTTTAATACCAGTCACATAAGGAGAAGGATAGGGTATAAATCAAATCAAATCAATAAAGCTATCTCCTTTTCCAGCACTTTGTTTCTATGTCAAACTGCTGTTTGTGTTGACCACTTCACTAGCCAAATGGTAGGGCCAGCATCTGAGGCAAAGGGCTTAAATACTCAGCTATCACTCCTACATGCTGGTGAAAACTGTAGACACCTCTATTGGTCTCCATCACAGAAAGATGATGGCTGCTAACCAATCACAACAATTGACTTTCTTTCTTTCTTTCTTTCTTATACTGATGCCTTTGTTGCTCTGAGCCAAGAGTTATGGTAACCTATAAAAAAATAAACAAACAAACAAACAAACAAACCTGGCCAGCAGTGATATAGGCACTGGCTAGCTCTCCTGTGCACTACCCTGGTCTAACACCATTACCCGCTTCATACTCTTGAACACCAGTACACTTGACCCAAAGGGCTGGTAGGCAAACTAGCATCATTCACATGGACCTCCTTTTATTACAATTTTTGCTAAATTAAAGATAACAGAAATAATACTGTAATAGAAAATTACAGCTTCTTTGGAAACCAGCATACTGAATCCAGCCTGTGCAGTTATTATGATATTTACTCTCACATATACATGAGCATGCTCCTTCTCTCCCTCGCCCCATTTTGCTGGAGCATCCAATCTTCTTTTTTGTGATTGATGCCAAACTGCCTTGTAGTGGATGCCAATCTTCCATGACCAGGTCAATGACATCCATGCTAATCCAGAGCTGGTTATCTCCAGCGCATCCAAGTTTCCTGGCTTTCAAAGTGTTTGTTTGCGTTTCAAACAAAGGCAACAATCTTTCCCCCCAGAAACACTGCAAAATAAAATAAAAAAGGAAGGAAACAACTTGCAACCGATGAGGCAAAGTAACCGCTGAGAATAAGACTGGTGTGAAATTATGGATTTTGTATGTAACAGCCCATGACCTAGCCTGAGGGTAGCTACACTTTTGGCGGAGGGTGGGGAGTATTTTATCCTACATCCTATATCTCTGCAGCAGACTGTTTTTATTCTGTCAGAATGATAGATCTGGCTATATATGAATTTGCAGAAAAGAATCTCTCCCAATCAAAGAAGCCTCTGCAAGATTACAGATAGAACAGAAGTAGGAAGAGGAATGAATTTTGAAGGGAGCTTTCTGGCTTTTTAATTTCCATATTAGGCTCATGGTAAGAAAACACCAAAAACCAACAAAATACTCTCTTAGTGCTTCCAGATGAGCCTGAATACTTTCCTGTTGCTGCTGTTTTTTGGATATGCCTGCCAGAAAACATGTCATTTACTTGCACGTCTGTAATTAAAAGACAGCTCTGAATACAAACAATGCATATTTTTGTATGTTATGTTTTGAATGCTGATAAAATTAGGAAACTGAGATTTTATTTAATTTTTTTCAAGTCATTCTTGTTCACAAACTGTGAGGGTGTGAATGAAAGTGTGTGTTTTCATCAGAGGGAGACACTGAATATCTTCTTTTCATTTATCTGCTACTGGAGACCAAGCAGCATCATGCTATTCTGACTCTGGATGTGACAGCTTTAAATTGTGATGTGTTTTGCCTCCAACCCAGTCTCTGTCACTCTTCAGCCAATACATTTTTCTCCTTACTGCAGTTCTTTTCCCATGTATTTTACCTCAGATGACCAGCTGTACCAATTTGTACTTTTTTGTTTTTCATTATGTGATCCAGTTGTCCTAGCCAGACTGCATATTCTGGGTGGCTGACAGAAGAGTAAAGCTATGGAGAAGATGTGACTCCATGGGGGCAGTAGAATTGAGGAATCACTTATTGGACCCTCCTGGCTTTATGGACGAGGAATAAAAGTGAGAAAGGTGGCTTTCCAGGTAACACAATGCCTTCCCATTCCCACAATGCAGAGCCCGAGAAGAAGTGTAAAAATGAAAAAGTGTCTATATATATATCCATTAAATTAGAAGCTTGACTAGAAGGAGGAGTTTTGTTCTGTTTTCAGCTGTGCAAGGCTGTCTGAAATTTATAATGATATTTTGCAAGTAACAATAGGCTGTGTATTATTTGGCAGTGTACAAACAGTACTGGTTTTGAATACAATAACAGAGAACCTTGTCCTCTAATTTCATGCACCGGTACTGGAATTTGCTGGTCAGTTAATCACAGGGACCTTATTATTCAATTCATTTATTTATATAATAGGCATAAGCATTTCAAATATAGTAAAAAAAAGAGAATCTTCTGAGAGTATGAATGGGTGGGGGATAGTTAGGGTGAAAATAGAAGGCCACCTGTAGCATCACCCCTGCTATCACTCTAGTGCGTGTTGACCTTCTCTCCCTCCATTCTTTCTTTTTGCAGCTACCAACTTCAGCACATTAATGACAGTACAGCAAGGCTATGCAGACATACTCTTGAAGGAGAAACATTGGTTGCAGGCTTTGAAAGATAAAGAGAAGTTATTTGCAAGTAAGATATCAAGTTTAAAATAAGTAAACAAAACAAATATTCCCCACTGTTATGTAACACCTTTTAAAATGTAACTAAACACATAGAGTTAAATCCAACTCTATAGTTAGCATGCCATTAGAAGAAGAATACACATTGCCACTTTAGCTATACAATCCCCCCTCTGACCATTGATTATTCTGTCTCTGCAATGTAAACTAAGTTGGTGTTCACCTCCTGGTGGCCAATCACAAAACAAAGCAAACTACCAATGACTGGGATTGCAGTCAGACAATTTTTAACATTTATGGAATTGCCATTGCTAACAACAAACTCTCAGTAATGCCACTTTGGGCTAATGTACAATGTGAAATCTGTGAATTCACAATTGGAAATATACATATTAATATAGAAAATGTGACTGTTTGCTTAAATAACCAAAGCTTTGGCTTTGGTCAGCCAAAGCAACATCTAATCATATTTCAGTTTCCAAGTGGAGACAGTAATAAACTCTGAAGATAAGCAGAAGCTGGGCATAATGTTTGTTGTCAGTGATGCTCAGTGGGACATATGTTTGCACTGTCACAGTGACTTCCTGCAGCAGAACAGGTGCCCCATCTCTCCTAGCCACCTGCATAAAATAAGCAAAATATTCAAATACTGTTCTCCTAGCTGTATGCAGTTTTGTGCTGCTCTGAAGCCTTATCAATAGCAGGCACTGGTATAAAACTACTCAAAAGGAAAATATTGTTCACTACAGACAGTAATTGATTTAAAAGACAAGATAATTTTTTACAAGGTGCCAGGTAAAAATGTCTTCCTCTGTATTCTACAAGGATCTCAATGTTGTCCTTTTATATATACTATATATATTTATTTATCATGTGTGAAGAGACTGAGAAATTGGGGGATCTGGAGCATGGTGCTCTGCTGAAAAATTCAGGTTTCTCTGTTGGAGCCTGGGTGCAGAACTAGGGAGATGCTTACAAGATTTCCATTCTGCTCTACTTTTAGTCAACAGGATACTAACCTCTATTATTTTACTTCTAATTATTTGGCAAAGCTATCTGGAGTTGTTGTGTTCCTTGAGATTATATGTCTTAGGAAAGTGAGGAATGGAGAAAAAGTAGTTTTTTCCAGCGAAGTGAATCATAATTTGAAGAAGAAAAAGTCTGTTTTGTTGCCTCTCTCCAAGAATCTGACTCCCACCCAACCCTCAAAAATGTTGTGGTTATGTGAAAAATAACTCATCTTTTTGCATCGTCTTTTACACATAGCTGGAAACTTCTTCACATCTTTGCCTCCCCTCAACCTTTGAGCTACTACTGCCAGTCGGTCTTATTTATGGTCTCTCCTAACCTAGCTGAGACAGAGTGATCACACTTCTCTTGTTATACATACTGTGGATGCTGCCACTTCTATCGTCAATGTTATTGTTGCCATCATCATCATTGCCGTCATTGCATATCATCAAATATAATGTAATCTCCATGTTGTCCCTTTTGTTCGATTCCTTATGTTGGGACAGTGTCACCATTGCAGGGATGTTGATTTTTCATTTTTCCGAGGGGACAGGGGCAAACTTCAAAAAGGATAGGACCACCAAACCTAAAAATAAATAAATAAAAGTAAAAATAGGATTTTGCCCAAATTTGGTCACTAATGAAACAAAGAAGAAAGTGAGACTCTTCCCCCATAGCGTGGAGGGAGACGAACAGCGGGGAATGCCTACTGGCATTATCCAGAAGACCTGGCTGTGAGTAGGAGCAGAAAGTTTTTATTAGGCTAACCTACCTCCAGCCAGGGACGTGGTGGCGCTGCGGGCTAAACTGCAGAATCCTGTGCTGCAGGGTCAGAAGACCAAGCAGTCGTAAGATCGAATCCATGCGACGGAGTGAGCGCCTGTCGCTTGTCCCAGCTCCTTGCCAACCTAGCAGTTCAAAAGCATGCAAATGCAAGTAGATAAATAGGGACCACCTCAGTGGGAAGGTAACAGTGTTCCGGGTCTAAGTCGCACTGGCCATGTGACCATGGAAGCTTGTCTTCGGACAAACACTGGCTCTACGGCTTGGAAACGGGGATGAGCACCACCCCCTAGAGTCGAACACAACTGGACAAAAATTGTCAAGGGGAACCTTTACCTTTACCTCCAGCCAGACCTCTTTGGTTTTTGAGCAGCCCACCTGCCTGCCCTGTGTAAGTGAAACTCATCACAGCTGGGCCAGATAGGAATTTTGGCCTTGTCTCTCCTGATTGGCATGTTGAGTCAAGGTGGATGGGGAATTTTTGCCTATCCTACACTGGTAAGTAATTACTTGAAGGGCATCTGGGGCTGATCAAGGGTGATGCTGTTGTTACGCAAGTCACACTGGAAGGTAGTGTGGACTGGGAGTATCTGTGAGTTCCCAAACAGTACATGGTGTGCTATTGCACCCTGCATCGCAGAAACTGGGATTCAAAAATTTGCTTGCCAAGATGGGGGGGGGGCAGTCCTTGTCACTGCCTACCTAGGCTCAGAAGTGAACAGAACTGAAGCAGCCATGGAGAGGCATTTACTCTTTATTGCTCTGCTGTGATTCTTACCCACAATTGCTCCATTGAACTTGCTATGCATAGTGAGAGCAAGTTACCTATTGGTAAGGGAATTTCATCTTGGTGCACATTCCACCTTCAAAGTGCCAGTTCACTTTAGCCCAAAAGAGACACATGGTTACACTTTTGATCCTACTACTACTGCTGCTGCTGAAAAGCAGCTGTGGATTTTATGGGTGCAAATGGAACAGTATTTAAATAAGCAACCAAGCAGGAGGGCAAAGGAGCTGCTTTAACTACATAGACACAAACAGATCTCTTGGGAGATGGATTTGTTATAACTCATCAATTCATCCAGAATGCATCAGTAGAGGAAATTGAGCATGGGCAAATTCCAGTGATGCATATCCAGCTGTTTTGACCCTGTCATCCCTGACTTCATTAAATCATTGTACTTATACTCTCTCACATATACAAATTCAAATAGAAGCATACATGGACATATGAACATGTGTGCACTTACGCAACTACACAATCCATTTTCAGAGCATGAACAACTACAGAGTATGACCAATCTCCTACGTATTCAACATATATTTTTTAAAAAAACAACATTGGTCTTCTTGTCGCATTTTATCAGTATAATTTTTCCATAGAGAAAAGAGAGAAGATGGATTTGCCTTGATCCTACAGAAACTCTCCAACCTAAGAATCCCTTTGCCAACTGCTACTTTGTCTCTTCCCACGAGAGAAACATAAATTGTGAATGAAGGGCACTGTGCCTGGTGAATTTGGGAACATGGGGTAGGAAAAATGTGCAACTGTAGCTGGAGAAAGTGGTTTTAAAATTGGAGCAATGAAACAAATAAGAAAGGAGCAGACTGTGCATTTGTTGGAAATGTAGTCCACCGTTTCTATGGAGACAGAATCAGAAGTGGATGAAGCAGCCCATTTTGTGGGTAACAGCACTATAACCAAACATAGTACTCACATAAACATATAGACATAAATGCAACCATACATGCCAGAACATTTTGGCTTGGGAAAGAAAGTTCCATTTCAGTAAATATTGCTTGTTTTGGTAAAACATGAGTGAAAAAAAATCTCCCCTGCTGTGTGTGAGAGCCACTTAAAAGAAAGCTGAGCACTGTAATATATTTTTCTAAACAGTTTACGTAAGTGCAGTAAAAAAGAATAAGCAGCTAAATATTGGAACTTGATGTTGATATAGAGTTTTCTTTCAGCATATTTCACACTGTGAACGTTGTCTTTAGGACTTCAGCACCCTGGGGGGAGATTTAAGAATTTGGTTGGAAAAGTAACTTTTTCAAGCTCTTTTTTAGACTTGTGCAATTTGGGTCTTAGGGGCATCTTGTCATCTGGGTGCCAGATATAGTCCTTTAAACGTCTTAATGCAGCTGAAGATACAATGACAACTGTAGATTCACTGGTCAGCATCTTCTGTAGGTTCCATTGATTCGAATGAGCCTACTCTAACTTTGACTTACTATACTAAAGTATCAATATAACTTACATAGAATTTACTCACTAAATCTCCATTGATTCTTTGGGCCTAATCTAGTGTGATTTACAATACTAACCAATAGGAATTTGGACACTAAGGCCAATTCCTTTTCTGATGATATTGTCTGTCCTTGTCTTCCAACTGCTGTGAAATACTATGAGACTTGCTGAAGTAAGGGAGAAGGAAGATTGTCAAGGTAGGGAAGGAATGCGTGGGAGAAGCTAAAGCTGTCTAGCCATCTATGATTATAAGAAATTGTCTTGTATTAAGATAGACCAATTATCCTTCTAACTCTATAATGTCTCTGCAATTAATGACAGCCCTGTGGCACATCCAAAATGGAGATAAAATGGTGCTTTATTCCACCTATGGAAGCTGATTAGACTGCCATCTGAGTTTTATTCAACACTGGTGATAGAGAGCAGAAAGCATCTCACCTAATAGGAGCAAGCTAGCTCAGAGACACAAGGCCGACCATGAGTAGACAGTTCTGTCCTACAGGACTGTGATATGGGCAATGGTCTGCTTCTTCTGTTACTTCTCCATACCACCTGTCACCTGCCCAGAGGCTGGGAAAGCTGTGTTTTTTAAAAAACTAAAGCCAAATCCAATCCATATTTTTGCATACATAATGACATTTAGAGAAGTGTTTTTAAATATTTTCCAGGTTGCCCATCACATGATCAATCACTTGACTGCCTTTGTAATCAGTTGAGGAAGCCCCACCCCCATTCCCGACAGATACCAGGGAAACAGTTCATATTGTTCACATGATTGTCCTTGCACAACTAAGTAATCCTACAGGATTCTTAGAGTGCTTCATGCTGAAGGGGAATGGAAATGTGGATGCTCTAATCCAAAAAGACAGAAACAAAATTCAAAAAGATCTTGGTAGACTCTAGCACTAGGCTGAAAACAACAGAATGAAATTGAACAGGGATAAGTGCAAAGTTCTACACCTAGGGAGAAAAACAAGCACACAGCTAAAAAGGGGGTTCATACTTGGCTTAGTAATACTATGAGTGAGAAAGATCTTGGAATTGTAGATCACAAGGTGAATATGAGCCAATCACGTATTGTGGCTGCCAAAAAGATAAATTCTATTTTAGGCCTCATTACAGAAGTATAGTCTCCAGATCCCTGTGAAGTACTAGTTACCCTCTATTCGGTACTAGCTAGACCTCATCATGAGTACCGTGTCCAGTTCTGGTCACTACACTTTAAAGAAGGATACCAGCAAACTGGAAGAAGTTCAGAGGAAGGCAACAAGAATAATCAGTCAACTGAAAACCAAGCCCTGTGAGGAAAAACTGAGAAAACTGGGCATGTTTAGACTTGAGAAAAGAAGAGTGAGGGAAGATATAATAGCAAAACACTTGAAAGATAGTCATACGGAGGAGGGGCAGGATCATTTAATAATGGACTCAAATTATAGGAAGTCAGATTTCAGCTGTGTATCAGGAAAAAATGCTCTACTTGTTAGAGCAGTATGACAATAGAACCAATTACCTCAAGAGATGGTGACTGCTCCAAAGTTAGCAAAGCAAAAGCTAAGTGTGCTGCTTATATACCACCCCATAGTGCTTCAAGTTAGAGACACTAAGAGAAAACTAGACAACAATCTGCCAGCTATACTTTGATTTGGGTTCCTGAGTTGTGCAGGTGTTGTACTTGAGGACGTTCAAGCCCTTTTCAAGTCCATTATTCTATTATTCTATCAAATACCTCCGGGCACTATAAAACATCATAACACTCTTTGGTAGTTTGAGTCTGTGTTGGTCTGTCACAGCTGATATTTATCTCTGAAAGAGTTAATTCCAGTGTGGAAACATATAACCTTTCCCGATCATATCAATCTTCATCTGTGTCTGAAGCTGCTTCATTTTTCTCTTCCAGTGGGTGAGCTCAGCTAAGAAAGTCTCAGGCAATTCAAAAGAAACACATAAGAGAACAATAGAGGCTAAACTAGACTACCTGATGCTCATACCTTATCAGAATGATAGCACAGATCTTGGTCATGCACAGACTGCATCTTTCCCATGCACAGCTTTGTAGGGTGGCAAACAGAAAAAGTCTCTTCCTTCTGAATAAGGCTGAGCCTCATTGAGGCACAGTGCATAAACAAAGCACATTCTCCAGAGAGATAGGATAGGCTATCTAATTAGTTTTCCTAATACCTTTTATACAATAAATGAGCTATTCCACACCTGTTGTAAACAACATCTTAATCCTCTTTCATGTTTCCCCAAAACAAAAGCATATTCTCTTGCTTTCCCACAGCTGTGATATGGACGGCTGGGGTGGGCGGGGCAGGGAAAAATACGGTTTTTTAAAAAAGTCAAGAGTTAAAGTGGAAGTGTCCTTTGAAGTCTTCTTTAACAGGAGGTCAAATGAAGGCGTAAATTGTCCTTTTGTTTATTGCCCATACTGGCCTCTGCCTGCTCAGCCAGCTTTTCAGGCACCCACAGAGAAGCATCAAAGCTTCCAGTACATGAATTCTATGTTCCATGCTTTCCAGTTCCTCAGTTTCTTCACAATCAATTTGCCTATTTCTACAAACTTTATTCATCTACATTGTTTTTATGCAGAAAAATCCAAGTTATTGAAAACAACTTTTAAGAAGTTAGAAGCGTGTTTCAATTATACAGAAATTAAACCTATAGCAAAGAAAAATCTGTCAGCATAAATATTTTTACATGTATGAAGATTAAACTTAAGTTGCAAACAATATACTTAAGTCAGAAAAAACATGTTTCAAGTAAAAGCTTTTAGGTATAAAAGTTACAGAGAAAAACTTAAATCATATTTCAATCCAAAAATGTAGGAGTTTGTAGCCATAAAAGGTACACTCAAAAATAGATAGTACATCACTAAAACACATAATTAAAAAGTAAAATGCATTATAGCTGTGAGCAATCTTTAGAACATCCATACACACAACCCATTGCCATTTGCCATTTTGTATCTATGGAGGAAAATTCATTTTCTCTGTGTATTGCCCCTGTGCTTCTGTCCTATGCCTTCTTCTTGATTCTGGTGTCTAGTGTCAGTTTCTATGCTGCTGGTTTCTGGTGTGTATATGTGCCCCATTTTTCTATAATTATATCTCCCTCATTTGCTTATTTTCTCTTCAACTGTCACCTAAAGATGGGCATGAAGTTTACAACGAACCAGGAAATTCATAAGAAAATGCTAATTTATTTATTCAGATCAGTTGGGGTTCCTCCAAACTGGAGATCTCAAAATTTTCTGAACCAATGCATTTTTTTGTGATTTCCAAACCACCCGATTCATTGCCCCCCCAAATGTCCCTGCCCCCTTCCACCTGCCCTCCCACAGATGAGAGGCCGCCAGCTCCTGCTGAGCAGGCTGACAAGGTAGCTAACAATTTTAAAAAGAGAGAGAGAGAGAGAGGTGGGGATATGTGCAGAGGCCCCCCAGCTGGCTGATAGGCTGGCTAACTAAAGAGAGAGAGAGAAAAAAACAAAAAATATTAATATATATAAGCAACTCCACATATCTCCACCTCTCATCTGAGAGGCAGGGACATGCTTAGAGATTCTCAAGATAGCAGTGGCAGCGGTGGTGGTGGTGGTGGAGGCAGTGAACGAGCAGCAGGAAAAGGTAGGGAGGCAAAGGGGCAGTGGGAAGAGGTGGGGACAGGCTATGTAGGCAGGGAAGCAGTTTGTTTGGGAGGGGGGTTAGTCAGCTACTGGGCTGTCTAAAAAAATTCCTGAACAATCAAACAAAATCATAAATTCATGGTTCGTGATCTTCCATTTGGCAGTTCGTGCTCATCTCTTCTGTCAACAATTGAGGTGTACTATTGGAGAAAAATGCTAACCATAACAATTTGCTTGAATACAACTTTGCTAGGTGTGCAGAATGCTTATGAAGGGCACTAGGAGGATACTGATCTATTATCACCGTAATCTAAGAATTTAATTGTCCACAATATTTTTTAATCCTTTGTTTCTCTTATCAGCGTGTATGTGTCTATGCTCACATTTTAGCTTGCTAGGAAAGAGATATTTTAAAGTATCAAGTTACCTACTTTGAGAGACAATGTTATTTTACACTGATCTTACTTTCCCTCTGATTGTTTTCGATAAGGAGCTAGCCAATGTATGCTGATGTTCAATCCTCTGTTTTCAGAGTTTCTTTGCAACACTCCCTTTAATCATTTTAGCACTTTATACATACAAAATTTCAATCCTGGATGCTAGGACAATGACTGAACCTGAGACCTTTTGCATACAAACCATTTCTTCTTCACCTGAACTATGGTTCTTCCTTTTCAAATATCTCCCAGTGCACTAGGTGATGTGATGACATAACTCCTGAGTGGTGGATGTACTTTCCTTTTTGGATAGGAATGTAAAAATTTTAAGCTTGCTGGAGTGGGAAGCTTATTAGACTAAGCTGGGATTTAACACACAATACATTTTTCTTGCATTCCTGTAAGGAAATTAGTCTGAAGGATGTCTTTGGAGACTTCGTAGTCATTTTGCATTTATCTAGCAGTACTCTGTAGCTTTCAATTTGCTTAATATAATTTGTGCTGTAGTCAACTATATCTTTTTTCATTTCTTGTTATGCAATTGCTTTTACTGTACATTTGTTTCTTTGTTATGTAGCAACCATTACTACTATTAATATTTTCTATGCAATTTATTGTTGGCATTTACTTTTCCTGAACATCTATGCTTTCTCACCACCGTGTCTGTTATTTCAATATGTTTTGCATTTTTTTGCATTGTTCAGACTTAATGGTCCCTCTCCATAAGCTCAGTGGAACAACTTATGTATAAAACTACAGTTTGTGACAATTCAGTCAGAGCATAAATGTTCAGCATGTCCTTTGCTTCAACAGCTATTGCTGATGACATAATCATTTTAGCACTGCTGAGCAAGTTAACACCTGCAGTGGGACAGGAAGCTATTGTCTGTATTTGCAGATCCAAATAGATAGAACTTCTAGGCTGAAACATTCTTATACTAGACTTTAACAAAAATTTAAATGTTTATTCTTCTGCATGTGTTTGTCCTGTGCAGAATGCAGAATTATACTGCTGGCAGATGAATACATAGATCACCAGGGAACGTAAGCCTCTGAATGAACTGTAGATTTTGTGGCTTAGCTTAATATTATGCACCACGACAGTGGTCTTAAGTGGGACATTTCTGATCAAGGAAATACCAAAGGGAAACTTGAGCAGGAACTCTCTCATCTTCATACAAATTGATGGATTTAGAAAGGAGTGACATATGGGGCAGAACTAGGACAGGGCCCTTTATGGTTGTTGACAGCCTAGGATTTTCTAACACCTGGATGGGGATGAAATGTTTTTTGTTTCGCATGGCCTTCTGTATGTCAGCACTGTGACAAATTGCAATGCCTACCATCATACCAGCAGTTTTTCCAAACTGAATGTGACAAATTGCAATGCCTACCATCATACAGTACCAGCAGTTTTTCCAAACTGAGGCCATCCATTAAGAACCATCAGCTTTTCAAAGTAAATGAGTCTTAACTTTCTGTTTAAGACCAAGCCATCTCTAAATACAGACAGAATTTTACATTGTGACAGGGATCACTCTTCAATACATTGCAATTCAACAGTGTGTCCTTGCCAGGTAATTCCATTACCCCTGCTCTGCTACTGGAAAGACTTCTAGCTAAGCTCAGACGGAATGGGGAAATCACCCAAGAAGCCCGGTAGATGATGTTATTGTGCCTCAAAAAATCTTGGAGATCTGACCTTTTGCATCCTGGATCCATTGCCCCTTTGCTTCCAGGTTTCTAGATGGGACTGGATTGCCTCCTACTGGTAGATGACTCATAGGAATGCTGCACAGGAATTTGTGATCACCACCCTTCTCAAGCCAAAAGTAGACTTCAGGTGATGAGAGCATATCTTTAAATTTTAAGTACAGGCCTACCCCATCCATCCACACATTCATATATAAACTGGAGTGTGAAGAACCAGTTATAGAACACTAGGAGTGCCTGGGTATTCCCTATGTTTAGCATTTACCCTTTCTCTCAGATGCTTTTTAAAGAAGATGGGATCACTTCTGATACACTAGTAGAACTGAAAGAACAATGATATTGTGATGGTAAGCCAGGACTGAGAGAAAGTCATCATCTTCCACCTCTGTTCTTGTTTTGTCCTTTATCCTTGCACCAGGACCCAGTCTGGAGCAAGACCAAAGGAACAAGTTAGAAACAACCCCTCAGTCCAAGCAGAGACCAACCAGCTAAGGTTCTGAGTCCGAACAGCAGCCAAGTAGAAGGATGATGTGAATTGTGGTCAGGCAGTCCAGGAGTCAAAGTCAGGAGAAACAGTATCAAGGCAGCAGGGTCCAAGGACACAATGAGAGGCAGACATGGCAGGAACAACCAGGCAGGGTAGGAACAAGGGGGCAAGGCAGAAACAACAAGGTTTGGCAGGCAAGGCGGGAATAACACTATAGCATGGCCAGAGACCTTCACTGCTGAGACAAATGTCTATAGGGAAAGCCTGTTCTCATATAGCCTGGTCCTCAGATTCCACAAGTGGCACTCCTGAGGAGCTGGGCAGCTGCAGGGAAAGGGCCCAGTCCTGCAATCTCTAGAGCAGTTCTCCCCAGAGAAATGGGGCTGATCCTGCATGCACTAAGGTTGCATGGTTCTGGCATGGCCCCAGTCCTGACAGCTTACTGAATAGCTCAGTGGTTTAGGTATCTGATTGTGGAGCAGAGATTGGGAGTTCAATTCCCCACTGTGTTTTCTAGGAAAAGAGCCATCCTGTGTAGCCTTGGGGAAGCTGCACAGTCCCAGAGTGCCTTCAAAAGAACAGAATGGTAAACCACTTCTGACTTTTCACTACCTAGAAAACTCAGGAAAGAGTCACCATACGATGGAATCAACTTGATGGCACACTTCCTCTCCTCCTTCTCCTTCTCCTTGTTGTTATTATAATTTCTCAACTTACACCTGATTGAATCGGAACTCTGTTTGAACATTGTTCTTGTCAATTTACTTGGGCTTGTTTTCCCAAAGAAAGAAAGAAGAAAGAAATAAGCTATTAATCTAATTTCTGCATACTGGCATCCATATTTTCTTAATGAATAATCACAGTTCATAGAATAATTAATGAAGTTGGAAGAAGCCTATAAGGTCCTCAAGTCTCCTGCTCATCAAGTCCATCCCCCTGTTGTTGTTGTTGTTGTTGTTGTTGTTGTTG